ATCCACTCACCTCAGCCTCCCAAGGCACGGGATTATAGGCTGAGCCACCGAGCCCGGCTTGAACTTTCATATTTAACTACTAATTTTCACAGTGCCTAATCTGTTCCTAATCATCTACGACAACTTTATTCAGAATTATGCTGGATAATTACCTAACCACTCTGCCATGGGTTATACCAAACAAACAAGATATCATCTATATTACATACCAAAAATTAACAACACTTTTGTACACTTTAAAGTCACCAAAAGTTTAAACAATAGTTACAAATGCAATAAAACATTGAATTTCAATACATTTACAACCATATCCTTTTTTTTTTTTTTTGAGTCAGAGTCTTACTCTGTCGCCCAGGCTGGAGTACAGTGGTATGCTCATGACCACCGCAGCCTCAACCTGCTGTGCTCAGGTGATCCTTAGCCTTAGTCTTTCAAGTAGCTGGAACTATAGGCATGCACCACCACATCTGGCTAATTTTTTCATTTACTGCAGAGATGAGGTCTCGCCATGTTGCCCAGGCTGGTCTCGAACCTGTGGGCTCAGGCAATCCTCTCGCTTCCTCCTTCCAAAGTGCTGGGATTACAGACATGAGCCACTGAACCCTGGCTTATAACTATATCTTATAATTTTATATAATAGGCTCCCAATTTGGTCTGTGGCACAATAAGGATATCAGAAATTAAGTAAAAGGTGCTATGACTAGCAGAATAAAAATCTACAAATGTGAAAAAATTCGCTAGAGTTTACCAGAATATCCTTAATATGAGTCATAAAAGTTTAAAAGATAAAGAGTTCATATTTTTAAGCTGTACAAAATTTAACAAAGCTCTAACAAAACCTATTTTGCAGATTTTTCCCCTTGAGTATTAAATATAATAATATAGTTAAAACATACCTAGAACTCTCCCTGGTTCATAATAAATATTTTCTAAAATGGGAAACTGTTCCGGTTTTACATACCTTGACATAGATCACAGGGAGCGTCTGTTTGGCTCGACTATAGTGTCTGGCAACTCTGTATACTGTTTCCGGAACATAGTCCAGCACCAGATTAAGATAGACCTCATCTTTCTGAAAGAGTTTGTTCAAAAAAACAAAAGATAAAACAAATTAGAAACTAATCTTTAAATATTAGAATTAGAACTAATTCTCTATACATTCACATATTCAGATTTTTAAAATAAGATTCATGTCAATTTTAATTATATAAAATTACTTTAGAATATAACAATTGTAAAAACAAGTCAACCACATCTTTCTACTAATGATTCCATGGGTGGCAATTTCAATAATATTAAGATTCCCAATCATATTTAAACTTTTATTTTGGTTATCATGTCTTTAGAGGATATTATCATTTATCATAAAATTTTATATTTTCTAATCTGATAATCAAAGTGTTTATATTTTATTTTTAAAAGTGGCATGGTAGCAGGGAGAGTAATAAATTCAAACCTAAAAAAATGTGGATCTCTAGCCCTAGCTCTGCTGTTAGTTGGTGTATGCAAGTCACTTGATCTCTCTAGGCTTCAGTTTCTTCAACTATTATAATATAATAATATAAAAGGTTGGGCTAGATAGTCTTCAAATGTCACATATAATTAAAAAAAATCCTATGGTTACCTGATAATCTATAACTGGTAGAACAACTACTTGTCTTCTATAATTAACCAAAATTAAAAGAATAACTTATAAGACAGTGTGTTCCTATACTTACAAGTTTATTACTGCTCATATCTTTAAATATCCATGCTCATATCTTTAAATATCCATGCTCAGTAGCATAAAGATACCAACCCAAGACCAGTAAAGAAAAAAATAAAGGAATTCTAAGTACCAAGTTGGACTCTTACCCTGTTCATGTGAAAAAGTATCAGCCGGTTAAGCTGAAGCAAAAAACAGTTTAGAATCACTATGTTCTAGTAATAAAACTGACTATTGAGTGGGAAAAACAGCAGGTAAACAAAATTTCACCATCTCCCAATTTGAAATCATATTACCTACCAAACTGAAGTGGAATATTTCAATTTTCAGCATTTTTCTAAATATCAGTGACCACTGTAGAGGAAGTAAGGATGCAAGTATAAAAAAGATAACATCTGAAATGGTATAAAAGGAGCATTTGGGGCATAAAGAAAACTACATTCAAGATGTGCAGTCAAAAAGTACAGCAGAGCTCAGGAAACAGTTTCATGAGACATCATGCCATTGATCCTATCCCCTTTTCACTACCTTCATACACTTTCATGCTCTCTTGTCTTCCCTCCACAGTCTGCTAAAATTCCATTGTCCATCATTATCCTCTCTCTCTCTGAAACAGGGGTCGGCAAACAACATCAATGGCCTGCTGCCTATTTTAATAAATAAAGTTTTAATGAACATAGCTATCTGTTATATACTGTCTGTGGCTGCTTTTTGAGGTGGCTACAATGGCAGAGTTGAGGAGCTGTAACAGTGGCTAGGAAGCCTGCAAAGTCAAAAATATTTAAGGAAAAGCTTGTGGTTTATCTGCAACCCTGGTTAAGTCCAGTTGACTGCCTAGTCCACACCTATACCTAAGGAGCTGAACACGGCTGCTAAGAAACCTCTAATTGTGCTGTTTGGTCTCACATTAAAGTTGTCATCAAAATTCAATTTGCCCAGTAATAATTATCATTTGCCTAGTCCACTCACTTTTCCAGACCATTTTATTTCCCCTCTCCTCCTTTTCAACCTCTAACACTCCTTCTCTGTCTTCAACCTTAGCTGATGAACTTGCTCGCATCACTACATGCACCCACCTGTAAGCACATATACCTATATACTCTTCCTTCACTTCTGTAACTGAGATAAGCTAACCAAACTGCTTTCTAAGACAAATGTTGCTATATGTTTAAAAAAAAAAAAAAAGTCCTATTCTGCTTTTCCTATTCAAGGTCATTGTTCCAGAAATTTTCCTTTCTGCATTAACTATTTCTTCTGAGTGGTGCCATTACAATTAGCACACAAACTTGCTGTAATTTCTCCCATCTTAAAACAACAGCAATAAAAAACTATCTCCAACCAAACTAATTATCACCATATTTTCTGCTCCCACCCCACATTTTTAAGCTGATTTCCTCTAATTCCTCTTTTTAATTCTCTCTAAAACTTACAACAGAATTTAACCATCAGTACACCAGAATTTTTCAAGGTCAACGGTCTTGTTGCTGAATCCAATGCCAATTTTCAGTCATCATCGTACCTTTCTCATCTACTTGACTTAGCACTACCATTTGGCACAGTTAATCATGTTCTTTTCTTTGAAGCACTTTCTTCACTTCACAGAACACTATGCTCTCTTTTGATATTTTCCAACCTTACAGCAGCTCTTCTTGCTCTCCATTTCTGCTTTCTCTATACTCCTTGATTTGTTAAGGATTAGAGGATCCCAGGGCTTAGGTCTCAAACCTGTTTACTATTTTGTGTGTGTGTTTTTTTTCTCCCTAACTTACAGACAGCTCTTCTTGCTCTCCATTTCTGCTTTCTTCTGCTCTCCTTGATTTGTTAAGAAGAATTAGAGGATCCTAGGACTTAGTTCTCAAAACTGTTTTCAGTTCTTTAAACTCACTCCCCAATGATAATTTCAGCAAGTCTAATGGCTCAATACTACTATACACTGATGACTTCCAAATTCTCACCAGTGTATAGTAGTGTGTGTGAATATTCTAAACGTCCACACTAGGATATCAAACTGTGAACGTGACAGTGCTCAGGCTAAAAAATCTTAACCATCCTAAATATACTCCTAGCCATTCTCTTTCTCATACCTACACACACACATTCTCTTTCTTTCTCTATCTCTTCCCCACTCCGCTCCCAATATCCATATGCCAAAAAATACTAATGGTTGGTTCCACCTTTAAAATTTATCCAGGCTCCAACCACTCTTACCATATTCACTGTTGCAATCCTGGTCAAGCCACTCTTACCTGGATTATTTCAATATCTTCCTAAATGGTCTACCTGCTTCTACCCTTACCCCTTTACAGTCTGATATCAACTAATATCAAGCACAAGTCAAACTGTATCTCTTCCACTCCACTTCCCTTGTCTTTAAGGTACTACACACTCGCCTCATTATTTCCCTGCTCTCTATCCTCCTCCACTGCTTACTCATCTTGAGCCATGCCAGGTCCCTAATATTTCTTGGACACATCTAGTATGCTTTCACATTCAGGGCCTCCTGCAGCCTAGAATGTTCTCACCTTAGGTATTAACACAGCTCACTTATCTCAACTCCTTCAAATCTTTATTCAAGTGTTACCTTCTTGGTGTGGCTTTCCCTATTTATTCCATTTAAAATTACAATCCATTCTTCCACTCCTACGTTCCCCATCTGCCTTCTCCATTTTATTTTTCCCCACCATATTTTTGATTCTTGATACTTATCACTTTCTAACCATATAGTCTACTTTATATTATCTGCTTCCTCTGATTAGACAAGTCTCTATGAGGGCAATGGCTTTTATTCATTTTGTTCACTGCTCTAATTTCACCTAGAATAGTGCCTAGCACATAGTAGGTAGTCCAAAAATTAGGGTTATACATATCACAATACATAAATATATAAAGTTACACTGTATACTGCAAACATGTACCACTATTTTTCAATTATATCTTAGTAAAACTGGAAGAAAAACTAAAATTATAGACTGACAGATCTGTTTTAACTCAAACAGTATTGTGGAAAATGGATATGGAAAAGAGTTGAGAATGAAAGCAGGTAAGCAGCTAGAAATCTCCTACAAGAGTCCAAGACCTGGACCACAGAACAAGGCAATGGGAATTTTTAAAAAGGAGGAGGGGAGAAGACTGACTAGGTATATTGGCTAGCTGAACATAAGAGTAATTGAGAATCTAAGAAACAAAGAAGTTGGGATTAATTTAATTGTCTTTAAACTTGGGCAACTAAGTAGGTCATGAGACAGAAAAGAAAAAGAAAGTAAAAAGGATTGAAGGAAAAATTATTTGAATTTTTAATTAATGAAAGTTCTTTGAATTTTTACTTAATGAATTTGAGTAGCTATGTTCCACAACTGGTTGCAAACACAGGTAAAGACAAAACTCAGGAAATAAATGAAGTACAGTTAGAGATTTAGGCAATAGTTGAAGCTATGAGAGCAGACTTGCCTACCTAAGAAGACTGTGCAGAGTACAAGAGTAAGGAAAGGACTTAGTATGGAATCCTAAAACACACTACACTTAAGAAGCAGAGGAACATTATGGGACTTAGCAATAATGAAAAAAGAACAAAGAGGCACAAGAAAGGAACATAAGGGTAGAATCAAGAGATCCAAAGAGGAAATTTCCATAAGGCAGAAAGGGATGAGGACTGTAAAGAGGTTATCGGATCTAGCACATCTTGGACCAGTGATGTTCTTGGAAAAAGCAGCTTCAGACTGTGGTTTCAGTAACAACCAAGCTGTACTGAGTTCAAGAGTGAGCAGACGGCAGATAAGGAATAGGAGGCATTTAATTTAGTTTGTTCTCTGGTGATAAAGTAAGAAAAGAGCCAGGAGGCAACTCAAAGAGAAGAAAAGCCAAAGAAAAATTGTTGCCATGCTTTCTTTGTATTGCTTACTGACTAAAAGAGATCCAAATTTATTTGCTGGCTAAGTAGAAAGGATAGATTAAAGTTATAAGAAAGGAAGGAAAAGGGATAATTGATGAGGAAAGATTCCAGAACATCAAGAAAAGAAGGAAACAAGAATACAGAGAAGCTATACAGTGTAATAATTAAGAGGTAAGGTTAGCCTGAGTCACACAAAACTACACAGACGTTCCAACCCTGTTACTAGAAGCATGAACAAGGTAGTTAACTTCTCCAAGTAACTGTTTCCTCATCTGTAACATAGGACGATTGGCAGTATCTACTTTAAAGGAATACCATAAGAAATAATCCATGCAAAACTCCTTAAGCACATGACCCGACACATAAGAAAGACTCAAATTTTAGCTATTTTATCTTTAAAATAATGATACTAATTTATTGTTTCCAAATCTAAAATAAGTGATTAGGTATTAGGGAAAAGGTAAGAAACGTAAGCTGA